ATAGTTACGAAGTTGATTTTAGAGTTCTGGGTGCCCTTTCTGAAGTGGAAAGAAATGATAGAGGATATTTACCTTTCTAGGCCAGTTCTCATTGCCTATTTAACTTACAATATAGGCAGACTAGAAATACATATGATTTCAGGACATAATTACAACTTATGTCATTGATTCTAATCAATGGGAAGCAAACTAAATGTCATTTTACAAAATATACAACAATAGAGTCAAGCAGGAAGCTGTGCCAGATATACATTATACTGGGTTGGCCAAAAATATTCATTTGGGTTTTTTCCACACAGTTACAATATAATTACACAATTATAGAAAAACCTGAATGAAATTTTTGGCCAGCCCAATACTTGGAAAAAGATAATGCATATCCCAAAGTACCAAATTCCAAAACTATTAATGTAAAATAAAGTAAGTCCATCTGGTTCAAGTGCACACATCTAATCATAAATTCTAAATATTTGTATAAATAAAAATTTAATTTGTTATGAAGCTAGTTATTATGACATAAGATCTTCCAGCTAGAAAAAAGTGAGTTAAAAAACCACTTAAAGGAATTTCTCTGGTGGTCCAGTGGCTAAGACTCAGTGCTCCAAATGCAGGGAACTAGATCCTGCATGCTATAACTAAAAAGTGCAGTCAAATAAATAAATAAAGTAAATAAATAATTATTTTTAAAAATCACTTAAAAATTATAAAGTATACATGAAAACAATGCTTTGATTATGCAGCATTTCCAATGTATTCCAGTCCTTCTTCCACATTTTACTCTCGAAAGAGATCATCACAATCTCTTTTCTTCTTAAATTAAAAAAAAATTATATTAAGAGGCATCCTTTGATACCAAGGGCTTCCCTGATAGCTCAGCTGGTAAAGAATCTGCCTGCAATGCAGGAGACCCCAATTCAATTCCTGGGTTGGGAAGATCTGCTGGAGAAGGGATAGGCTACCCACTCCAGTGTTCTTGGGTTTCCCTTGTAGCTCAGCTGGTAAAGAATTCACCTGTGATGCAGGAGACCTGGGTTCAATCCCTGGGTTGGGAAGATCCACTGGAGAAGGGAAAGGCTACCCACTCCAGTATTCTGGCCTAGATAATTCCATGGACAGTCCAAGGGGTCACAAAGAGTCAGACACAACTGAGTGACTTTCACTTTTCGATACCAAACAATCCTTAAATTTCACTTAGTCCAAGATGTAGTCAAAGCTGAGTTCCTCAGTCCATCACAGCTTAGTTATTTACTAATGAAACAAAATAAAATCTCTCTGTTTAATTACCTCATTTACCCTATACAAGGTGCTTCTCAGGTGGCACTAGTGGTAAAGAATCCACCTGTCGGTGCAGGAGACATAAGAGGCATGGGTTTGATCCCTGAGTCAGGCAGATCTCCTGGAGGAAGAAACGGCACTCCACTCCAGTATTCTTGCCTGGGGAATCCCATAGACAGATGAGCCTGGAGGGCTACAATTCATGGGGTTGCAAAGAGTTGGACACGACTGAGCATTTGAGCACATCCTATACAAATGGGGAATGAAGTGTTAAGGCTAATAAATTTTTATGATAGCTATGGCTAATATTTAAACATTAACACTTTTTATTGACTTAATATTAATCATCCTATAGTGCTTTAGGGACTACCAATGTGACATATTCCCTCTCAGAAAGTTATTATTTCTACATTTTAGTTTTTAAGTGTTATCTATAGGGCCCACATTCTTGCTGTATTAAATGTCAATTAATTCTTCAACATGCAAAATGAAATCTCAACAGAATGCTTTGATAATAAAATAATAGTTAACACATACATAAAATGTTTATGAATTCACAGGAACTATACTGAATACCTTACATGCAATTCTCAAAATATATTATAGTTAGGTATTATCCATGGAAATTTTACAGGTAAGAAAAGAGGCACAAAGGGGTTAAGGAGGTTACCCAGGATCACACCACTAGTAAATGTTAGTGTTAGTCGCTCACTTGTGTCTGACTCTTTGCAACTCCATGGACTGGATCACGCCAGGCTCCTCTGTCCATGGAATTCTCCAGGGAAGAATACTTCAGTGGGTTGCCATTCCCTTCTCCAGTGAATCTTCCCAACCCAGGGATTGAACAAGGGTCTCCTGCATTGCAGGTGGATTCTTTACTATCTGAGCCACTGAGGTCTAAAAAAACTAGTGATGTAATAACAGGTGCACTTTCAGCTGAGCCACCGGGGAAGCCCAACGAACAATAGTTTCTGTGCCAAATCAGACCCTAGTCACCAGCAGATTGGAAAACACCGAGAACGTGGTGGGGGCAGCCAGGGGGGATGAGGAGGTGTCTGAACCTCCCTGCCGGAAGTGACCCCTCACGGGGAAAGGGCAGCTGCGGCCCCGGGGTCCCGGGTGAGGAACCTGCAGAGTCGGGATGCTCCGAGTCAGGCAGCGCGGGGCATCTGAGTGGGCTGTTCCTCTGTGAGCAGAGCGCAGTGTCCAGAGGAGGATGCAGAGAACAGCTGGCCGGCAGGTCAGGTTCCAGTCTGGAGACGAGGGCACAGGGCTCGCCGGGCAAGACCCAGCGAAGGGCGCTGTCACCGGGAACGGGCGGGACCGCACACCCGTGCTGGGACCAGGGCGGTCAGCTCTCCAGGAACTCTGGCGCCAGGGGTGGGAGAATTCCAGGGAAACAAGCCCCCAGACACCCCCTAAATTGAGTTTCATTCTCATTTTCACCTTCAGGCTGCTTTTAGTACTGTGGCTACAAGTTCCTCTTGCCTATCGCCTGAGAGATACCATGGAGCAGTGTGAAGAGAAATGAATAGACACAAGGTCAGCCTCAGACTGGGAGGACTGAAACACCATGGACTCTAGAGCAATTCAGACCAGGCTCTACACTCAGTTCTGTCACTTTTATCAGCCTGGAGAACACTGCAAGTTCTTCGTGTCCTACTAAGTTTGATAAGCTTTGTCTTACAGAAGTATCCAAACGTATGTACATATAAAGCACATGGCACTGCAGCTGGCAATGTTTAGGTCTTTCATGCCTGGTAGTTATGATGATGATTATTTTCATTGTGTAATAAACCACCCTTATCTATGGAAATTTTTCTTTATCCAGAAGAAGCTAGAGACTATGTAGTCTTCTAAACAAAGAAAGCTGAGTCAATCAAACTGCTGCTTAGCAAGTAATCATTGGGCTTCCCCAGGTGGCTCAGTAGTAAAGAATCCGGATGCCAAGCAGGAGATGCGAGTTCAATCCCTGGGTTGTGAAGATCCCCTGGAGAAGGAAATGGCAACCCACTCTAGGATTCTCACCGGGAAAGTTTCATGGACACAGGAGCCTTGTGGACTATAGATCGTGGGGCAACAAAGAGTCAAGACATAACTTAGCAACTAAACAAGTAACCCTAAGTAAATTTTCTCTATCAGATAATGTGTTATTGAATTTAGAGGCAAGCATTTTACCAGGATGCAGCTCAAAACATTATAGAATTTGTGTCAAGGACCAGTAATTCCCCTGCCTCCCCAAAAAACACCCCGATTTTCATGTATTTCACCACCACTGAAATCTAGCCCCTCTCAGGGGGTCTACTAGATTACACTTGAGATACCCTCATGTTTGGAGTGTGCTGGGGCACCTTCTGTTCAGGGCCCAGAGTGCCAGCACAGTGACTTGTCAACATCCCATCAAAAAGGAGACAATAATAGGCATCAAACAGCTGGTCTACGGACTGTGTTCACCTGCACTGGGGAAGGAGCGCTGGACACCTTCCGTTCCTTCCCCAATTGACTCACAACCTCAGGGTAACTGTTCAGGGAAGCTTCTCATTTCAGTCTCAGCCTCCCAACTCTGAGGTCCACCATCTGGGGATTTGGTCCCAGCTCACCATTATCACAGGCTCATCCAGCCCACCATGCAGCCAACTTAAAATGACCTCCCAAGAAGGAACAGGAACACAAAGATGTATATTATGATTAGCTTTCCAGCCCCACCTTAGCCTCTCACAACTTAAAAAGGTTGGGAGTGTTGGTCGAATGCAGAGTGAAGAAGTTGCCTGAGACCTCACTAGGGGCTGGAGGGACTGCTAGGCATGACCTTGGAGCACACGCTGGCCTTGGCAGGACTACAAACCCTAACTGCAGCTCGGGATCTCTCGGGATCTCTCGTCATCTCTCAGAGCCTCTTCATAATGGGGCAGGAAGGCACTGGGGATGTTACCATTGACCCTGGCCAAAATACCAAACCTCAGTTTTGGTTTGAGAGAATAAAGGCTGAGAGAATTTATACCTCATTGCTCTCATCCCAACTCCCTCACCAGCATCCTGCGTCCTTTTTGTCACTTGTCTGAGATCATCACACCACCTTCCTTATGGAATCACTGCTCATATACTCAAGACATCTACAGGCAGGTGCAGGTTCTCCTTTATCTTCGCATCACCCCCACCAGCACAGAACCTTCTGAAGAGCAGATGCTCAAGTAAAGATGGGAATAAATGAGACACCAAGCAAGGAATGTAGTTTCTTATTAACTTTATCAGCATTCTTGAACAAGCTAAGAACATCTAAGTGTATCGCTAAGGGTACTGCCAAATGTTAGAAAGAGAAAGACAAAGGTGAATAACAAAAGATCAAAACTTGACTACAGCTTACATCGTTTTCATCTGTTTTAAAACCACAGCATTCTTTCACATTTCTAAGAAAATTCTTATTCCAAAGCTATGTTATCTTGTTCTGGATCCCCAAAAGATGCAAGGATTTTTCGAATTGTACTACACAGTGCCAAAACTCTTACTCTTAGGTCTGACAGACAACAAATGTGTGATCTGTGTCATTTGTAAACTTGGATTCTGAATCTAAACAAACATTCTAGGAAAAGAAACAACATTTGAAAGGTAACGGTAAAACAGGAGCACAAAAAATATATTATGACCTTTCCAGCCACACTTTATCCTCTCACTACTAAAAAGGTTGGCGGTATTGGTCAAACAAAGTGAAGACGCTGCCTGAGACCTCACTGGGGGCTGGACGGATTGCTGGGTGGGGCCTTGGAGTGGGCAATGGCCTTAGCAGCACCACGAGCCCTGGCTGCAGATCTGGCTTTGGCTCTCTCTTCCTCATCTTTCAAAGCCTCTTCATAATGGAATGGGAAAGCACTGGGGATGGTACTATTGATCTTGGCCACAAACTCCAGCACCTTCATCTTGGTTGTTTCGGCGTGGGCTCTTGGGCCCCACACAAACTCATAGCTCGGGGGATCGCTGTCAGGAATCTGACGATATATCAGGTACTTCTCCTGCACCAACTCTTCAGTGATGAACTTCCTGGGCTCCCCAAAGATTATGTGGGTATTCCCATCATAGATGCCAAGAATATTCAGGAACTCCCAGACCTCTGCCTCAGAGGCGGAATTGCCATTCAGGAAGATCACACTCAGCAGAGGCATCAGAAGCCCATTCTTCGGCACCTCCAAGGTACTGCCCAGCGCACCATCTTTGGCAAGGTCCTCCTTGCAGACCAGGGTATAGGAGTAACCATTCGGCTTGACTTCCTTCAATTCAAGGCCAAATATCAGCTCGATGCGCTCAGCAGCTTTCTTCAGGATCTCGGGGAAGTGTGCCTTGAACATTTTGTGGACAAGCTTCAGCATATCTATCTTCTTAATGGGCTCTTGCATCTTAAACTTCTCTAGCATGAAATGCATCAACACCCCTGCCTTCTTGGTCAGAGGATCTGGTGGAGCGGGCTTAGGAAAGATTGAGGCCTGGGAAGAATTTCTACGTTGCTTAGCTTGGCGCCTGGCATGTGCTTTAGATCTTGGGCGTGAAGCTCCTGCAACAGGAGAGCTAGTGGCTGCAGCTCCCTGAGGATTCTGCCCCGCACCAGCAGTGGGGGAGCCCGGGGGTGTACTCCCAGAAGTAGGGGTGGGGGAGGCAGCAGCCTGAGCATCCCCAAGATTCTTGGTCTCCATGCGTGCTTGGCGGCGTTTCTCACGCGCACGGAGCTTGCTCTTCTGTCCCCGAGGCATGACTATCAGCAGGCACAGCGGGCAGGGGACCAGGCAGGCAAGTAGGTGATGCTGCAACCTGGAGAAGGGAAGATGAGTGGATGAGCTCCTTCAGCAGGGAAGGAAGAAGACTGATCTGCCCGTTTCCTTGAGAGCCCTGCTCCAGGAACCACTGGCCTCTTGTTCTTGGTCAGCCTATCCCCTGAGAACCTGGTGTAAGAAGTGAGAGTGAGCCAGCTTCAGGCTACAGCCTGCCTGTGGCTGCCTGCGGTGACAGCAGATCCTGGGAGTGGGGCCCTCTCTGGGCCCCTTCGTTTACACACACAACTGGCACATCAGCTCTTAGTAGAGCCGGGACCCCTGCCATGCCACTTGAACGGTGATGCCTCAAAGCTCCCTGGGACCTAAGAGAAGGAACCGAGTCATGGACGCTGTCGGGGAAGATGGCACTGGCAGTTTTGGGGGCCTGCTCTGTACTGAAGTCATTGCTTCTCCATTCAGGGTCCTCATCCTGTCAACACTGAGGGTGTGGTCCCATCCCTCCTGCCTCTGGTGCTGCCCCTTCAGGTGAAGAACCTCATTTCCCTTAGAAATGACACAAAGAAATGAGGGGCCTCAGTGGAGGATCAGGCAAGACTCTTTAGTGTTCATTTGATTAGCTGGAAGGGGGAGCGTGCTACCTTCAGTCCTCATTCACAGTCCCCACTTTGACTCCTGGGAGGATCTGGGGGCTCCTTTCTCTCCTGACTTGAGGACCTTTCCTCACAGTAAGGCCAACAGCTCCCTGAGATCAAATGGGGGAAGCCAGGGTGGCCTTTCCTGGCCCTACCGCCCACGGTCTCTGGGGCCTGAAAAGGTGTAGCTGGGGGTTGAGGCCCTGTAATGTGTGGTCCTCATGTAAGGTCCCCAGATTTTACTTAGGGGAGAGTCTAAGATTCCTTCCTCTGCTGACCCATTAGACTAAGGTGCTCACTTTCCTGTTAGCTATGAGTGAGACACACTGCTGCCCGCCATGTATGCCTGGGGGTGCCAGGGAGTGACAGTGAGAGGAATTCTGGGAGTTTCCCACAGTCCTCAGCATCTTCTCCATGAGTCCTGGCAAATGCTAGAAATTCTCCCTCTGCTGACCTGAGCATGCTGAGGTTCCAAAGGTGAAAGAAATTTTGAGCCACCTCCAGTCACCCCCTGTCCCTGACCTCCCTGGGATGGCAGCAGGGGCTGGACTCTGTGGGACTCTTACTGTTCTGTCATCACTGGCCCCTTTTGTCCTCACTTGGATGAGACCTATGCTCCTCTCTTAGTCCACCCTGAGTCTTCCGGCCTCAGATCAAGGCCCACATCTCCCTGAGTTCCTGGGGCTGGAAGTGAGGGATGACATCTGGTGACCTCTGCCTGGGGTGTCTCAGGACTGACAGGGGCTGGGACTTTGTGGGCACCCACTGCTTTGGGTAGGTGCTCATCTAAGACACCTCTCTGGGTCCTTACCATGACTCTGTGACTCCTGGCAGGACTGGGAAATCTCTGTCTCAACTTGAGGTCTCTCCCCTCCCACTAAGGCCCACATCTCCCTGAGACCCACTAGAAAGCAGCGACATTTTTCTGATCTCTCTACCTATAGCTGTGTGTGGACTCCTGACATGGACAGTCAGGAAGAGATTCTGCACTGCCCTCTGTTGTCGTGGGGTAGGTGGGTGGTCCCCTTAATTCTTAGGTCCTCTCCTGTGCTCCTGCTACTAGCTGCAAATGCTCCAGTGGTGGACCTGAACCCAAATCCCCATCAGTGAGGTTCCTCACCTCCTTGTGAGGCTCTGGGAAGAAGCAAATGTGGGTCATCTGGTCCCCACGCCTGGGTCTCCCAGGTCTGAGAGGAGTGATGCGACTATGTGGTTCACTTCCTTCTGGGTGGGGTTCTCGCATGTTCATTCAGTGTTATACTGTGACTCCTTTTAGGAACGGGGCTTCCTCCCTATGTTGAATGAGGCCTCACCTATCAGACCCAAACCCTGATGTCCCTGAGACCATCCTTGGAGGAAATGAGAGGGCACCTCAGCCTGAGAGCTCTAACCCGGCTTCCCAGGGCGACGAAAGAGGTGGCACTCTGCGTGGGCTCTGCTGTTCTGTGGGAGTCAGTTGTCTCCTTCCTCACATAGAATTGGTGCCTCAACATCTGTCATGGCCCGGGACTCCTCGTTTTCTGCTGACCTGGGCAGCTGGACCTGAAACCAAGGCTCTCATCTCCCTCAGACCCCACAGGCAGAAGTCAGGGGCACCAGAGCTGGCCAGCTCTGCCCGGGATCCCCAGGGCTGACCCCAGACGTGGCATCAGATGTGGTTCTCTCTACCATGTATGGATCTTTCCCTCGACTCCACCTTCTTCCTGGGACTCTGCCTTCTGCCGACCTGAGCCCAAGACCCTGTGAAAACGTCCTCACCTTTCCTGGACCCAAGCTGACAGAGTGAGCCACATCCTGCCAAAGCTGATTTGGGGCTGTGCTGCTAACCACAAGGGTGGGACTCTTGACGCCCCCCGCCCTAGTTCTGGAGTCAGGGGCTCCCTCTGTCCTCACTCCAGATTCTGGCCTCCAGTTTGGGTAGGGTTTGGGAGCCCTCCGTCTGCTGACCTGAGTGCCCAGTGCAAAGCTCTCACCTCCCTGAGGGCTAGAGGAGATGCTGGGGGCTCCACACCCAGCTACCTTGTTTTGGATGCCCAGATCTGAGAGCGGGGCTGTTCCTCAGTGCAGCAATCCGCTTGCATGCCGGGCCTGCTGACTAGCACTGACAGTCCTAGTTTGACTTCTTCTAAGACTGAGACTCCTCTCTATGCCTAATGGGGTTACCTTATCTATCATTCTATATCTTTATTTATTTACCTATCACACCCATTGCTTTTATTATGTAACTGGTCGTTTCTGCATTTTAACTTTCCTCACCTATTTCTCTTCTCCCCCACACCCCCAACCCTAACCCCCATCAACCACCTGTTTTCTCTTACGTTTACAACTGTTTCTGTTTTTCAGATTCCTCGTAGAAGTGAAATCATATAGTAATTCTTTTTCTGACTCATTCCACTTAGCATACATAATACCCTCTAGGTCCATATCCTTTTATATAAAGGCCTTTCTCTACTTGAACGTCCCTTATCCCTAACGTCCGCCACCCCCTGCACACCACACAAAAATGACGGCCTCAGCCTCAATTACTCTATGATAATCTGAACCCCTATGGTAGGGGTCCAAACCTTCCCATTCTAAAGCCTAATGGTTTGAGCGGGACGGGGTGTAATAAGAACAGAAATAAAGTAACAATGTAACGCACTTGAAACATCCTGAAACAATCCCCTGGCCTACCCCACCCTACCCTCACGCCACCCCACTCTCCTTTGTCCACTGCATCATGCCCCACCACACAATGCACCCCACCCTATGCAAAAATTGTCTTCCAAGAAACGGGCCCCCCGGTGCCGAAAAGATTGGGGGCCGCTACTCCACGGCACCGCAGCATTGGTGGCAGGACGGGCTTCTGTGCAGCCACCACTTTGGTGAGCCACCACCCTGTGAGCGCTGAAAGCCCCATCTTTTCACCTGTTGAGGACAAGACCACTCCCAACGCATAGAGTCCATCCTCTTTAAACAAAGCCGCCCGACCCGCTACCGACCCTCCACGTGGCAAATACAAGATGGCTCCTGGGCCCGCAACTCAGGACAGGGCGTGTTACACTACAGATTGCAGGGGTGGGATGCGGTTGGGTTACTTCTTACAGGGAGGGGTTGGGAAATTCACTTCAGCTACATTCAGAACCTCACCTTGGCTCTGGACAAGTCCGGTACACTCGACCTCCGCTGAACAGACGCTGCAGCTTCCAACTGTGCTCCTCGCCGCGGAAGCGGAAACGGAAAAGGAGGGGCGCTGCATACGTTCATACGTGTGGCCTCCCAGGGGAGGGGCAAGGGCAGGGGGTCAGGGGGGCGGGGGCAGGGGGTCAGGGGGGCGGGGGCAGGGGCAACATGCTACGGGAACCCGGTAGCTCAATATTCATCAGTCCCTGGGTCCTCCTTGTGCCATGTATCAGAGCCAGGGCGCCTCCTTCTATGAACCCTAATCCTCCAGCTCCCAAAGCCCTCGCCTTCCCAAGTCCATAGTGGAGGGAATCAGGGCACTGCT